TTAGAATTATTAAAACAAACTAGAATTATAAAAAAATATATAAATCAGTTTATAAAACTTGGAAGTAAAGTAAATTCAGAATAGATCTATTTAAAAGAATATAAGATCTGAATTTTTAAGAAAGATCTCAAATCTAAAATTCAAAAATAGATTAATATAAATACTAAAGATATTATAAAAAGTATAATTAAAACTGCTAAAAATATTAAAAAAGCTGATTCTAATTCTCTTAAATAAATCTATTATCAAACTCAAGTCTAATCAACTAGTAAATTGAGTACTTTTACTAAGATTTTGCAAGATCTGATCAGTAGATTAGACTATGTAATATTACTTATTATAGTTGTAAAGGAAAAGAGTATATTAGTAGAGTATATCCAACTATCTTTCAATCTGGAAATTCATAATTCAATAATCAAATATTTCTCAAAATTAAAATAATTAAAATTTCAAATAACAATAGTAATAATAATAATTAGTAAAATCAGAATATTCAAAATATTAATTAGTAATCTAATAATTCTTAAAACTTGAATACTACTTCTTTTTTAACTCAAATTCAAAATTTAACAACAGTTTTACAAGCATCTACTAGTTATTCTTCAAGTAATTCATCTACTTAATCTAGTCCTTCTTTATTAGTAACTGAAAAAAAAAATATATAAGAATTATAAAAGAAAAAGAAGAAAGTAAAAAAAAATAAAGTTACTTAATCTTTATTAGAAGTTTCTAAGAAAGATAAGACTAATTTAAAGAAAAAAATAAAAAAAAGAAAGAACTCATATTTTTATTTTTGCAAAGAAAGTAGAAATTTATAATATACTCAAGGATTTGGCATCTCAGAAAGTTAATATTACTATTATCTAATTTATCAAGATCTTATCTAAATAAAAAATTCAAATATCAAAAGAAATGAGAAAGAAATCACAAAAAAACTCAAATGAAAAATAATATTTACTTAAAAGATTAAGATAACTTCAATCTGATATGAAGTTAAGATTAACAAGATTACTATAAATTTAATTATTAATACTGAAATATCAGAATATATTATTAATTATGAATTTCTTAAATGACTTGAAATAAAGATTCAATAAAAATTCAATATCTTCATGTTTGATATTAATAGATATTTCAAATAATTACTTGAAGTAATTGATAACTTTTTAATTACTATTAATAGAATTGTAATTTCAGCAGAAGTAGATATTATTAAAGCTTAAACTTATAGTCTTATAATAGAAATAAACTGGTTAAATAAAATTAATGCTAAAATTAATTTCAAGAAAAATATTATAATCTTTGACTAGAATGAAAAAGAAGAAAAAGTATTAATTAAATTTATTTATAGATAATAAAATGTTTAGCCAGAAGATAGTAATAATAACTCTAAAATATTCTTAAGTAAAATTACTGATAATAAGTTTGAAATTAAAGATCAAGACTTAGAAGATCATAATTTTCTTTATTGGATCTCTGATAAATCTTGAACTCAAATTTATATTGCAATCAGATGAATTATTGATATAGATTTTGAAAAGTTTCTTATTTGATAGTAAACTTAATTTCTAAAATTAGAAATGTCAAGTTCTTTAAAGAAGAAGTACAAGTCAAAAATAATATTCTTTTTTAAAAAGAATACTTAATAATTATAAATAATAAAAAGAATAAATAAAAATATAAAGAATTATTAAAGAAAATATCTAATTAAAAATATTAATAATCTAAATTAGTAATATAGATACATATAGTGATTATCTGCATAATAATATGTTAAATTTAATATATTAAATGCATAATAATTATCTGTATATTTAGAATGAAATTAATTTTCTTAAAAATATAATATAAAACTAATCTGTAATATAGTTAGCATAAAATAAAAATCTAAGCTAAAGAAAAATAATCTAATTAAAATTATTACATTTAATATAAAATTAAAATATTAATATAGAGAGAAAGTTTTAATTTTCACTATATTTTATTAATAAATATAATCTCTAAGTCATTATTTTTAATCATTACTATATTATACTTTAATTTAATAATAAATAAAATATTACTTTACTAAAAAAAAACTAAAATAAAATTATTTTTTTAAAAAAAAGATATTTTAAATATTATTACTATCAATTTGCAAGATTAAAATTTTAAATTATGCAAGCAGTTTGTATTAAATTTAATAAATATAATATTTTAAATTTTATAAAAATTAAATTAGTAGTTATAAAGATATTAAGATTCAAAGTTTAGTAATTAAATTATTTATTATATAATTTTTATATTAATTTCAATTAAATTTTATATAGTAAAATTTAAGAAATAATAATTCAAAAAAGTTTATATTAATAAAATTTTTTTATAAAAGATATATAATAAAAATTTTTATATTTAAATAAATTCTAATATCTAATAACTTAATTAAATAAGACAGAATTAAAATTTTATTTTTAAAAAATAATCTATTAATATTTATCTGATATATCAATTTTTTTATATCAGATTATATAAATTATAACTTATAAACTTTAAATTAATTTTTAATAAATTTATAAAGTTTAATATATAAAAAAACTTTTAATTTTTACTATATTTTATTAATAAAATTAATCATCTAATTTTATAATTATAAAAGTTGCTATATATAATAATTTTTTATAAATTTTATATTTTTTAAATTATTAAATTTAATATTTAAGTTTATATATTAAAATATTATGAATAATATATAATTTATTTTTAATAAAATTAAAATTTTTTTATTATATTATATAATAATTCTTTTTATTTTTTTATTTATTATAAAAAAAATAAATTTATTTATATATAATTTTAAAAATTTTATTTAAAATTTTTATATTAATTTTTTTAATAAACTTTTTTAAATTTTTAAAATTTTAAAGCTTATTTTTTGTAATTCTAATATAATATTATAGAATTTATTATAAAAATATAACTTTAATTATATAAATTTATTAATAAAATTTTATTCTAAATTAATAATAAAAAAATTTATTTCTTTAAAAATATACTGTAAAATTCAAAAATTTTGTAATAAAATTATAAAATTATTTATAAATAAATTATATATTTAGTAATTATAAATTAAAATTATATATTTTAAATTATATTTTATAATATTTTTCAATTTAAAAATAATAGAAAATGTAACTTAAGATAAAAAAATTTTAAAATTTTCACATACAAATTTATATACTAGATAAGATGATAAAATATTAATATTTTTAAATTTTAATACTTAATTTCCTTATAACTATTAATTTGATTTTGAAATATATATTTAATAATATAAATTTATGATAAAATCTTAAAAAAATATTTTTAATTTTTAAAAATTGCAAATTTATTTTTTCAAAAGCATAAGATTTTACTTTAATTGTTATTAAATTAAAAGTATTATTACGGATATTTTTCTTATTAATCTTAATAAAATTGATTGCAAGGAAGTATAAAATTATTTATTAAATAATCTAGGAAGGTTATAAGAGATAAAGTACAAAAAATATAAGATAAATATGAATTATAAAGAAATATTTAAGATTTTATAATTATTAATAGTATAATAGTAAAAAATTTAAGATATTATATTATCAAAAAGAGAAAATAATAAAAAAATGAAATAAAATGAAAAATGAAAGGTTGCTATCTTTGTAATATTTGAAATATCCAGAGCAGTACTCATTTTTTTAACATTTAGTACATTTATTAATGTTAATATATAAGTGAGCTCAGTCTATATTTTGAATATATATCTGGAAATGATTACTATTCGAACCTATATTACAATACTTAACATCGTAATTATTTAATGAAATTATTGCAATGAGTGCTCAGTTTTATTATCATAAACAAATTTGCAAAGAGGAGTGATTTATTGAAAATAAAACTATTGGCTGTCTTAAGCATTTCATAAAAAAATCTGGTTAGACAGACCATTAAATAGAAAATGGTAAATTTGAATTATATAAAATGTTTAAATGGAAGTGGTGAATTATTACACAATTCAGAACAAATTATTCTAAACTTCATAAATGTACATTTTTTAAAATGAAAGTTTGCTTTTTTGTTTTCTAAATACATGGTTAAAAATAAGATGTTAATAAATAAAATGAAACTCTGAATAAACTGAAGTTAGATACAGGAACAGTTATAAATTTACCAACTAAATACTTATTCTATTCATTGTACATGCAATATGGTAGGTATTGCAATTGATGGTGAAAAAGAACCGTCTAATATTAAAAGGAAGTGTTAAAATAACGCATTATTGTTTCTAATTGTTTTTTATTTTCTTTAAATTGAGTACATGTATTATGTATCGAGAATAAGAGAAGGGAGATTTCAAAAAAAAGATATACAAGAGAATATAAGTCGTACGAAAAAATTCATTTAAATCCTGGTTCCCTCAACATTCTCTCATTTCTTCTACTTTTATTTATTCACGGGGTGAGAATACTAAAATTTTATTTTCCTTGTCTGTTCTCTTCTTTTAAAAAATATTCGGTCCTATTTTTTCTTTATTATATAACAGAAATACGACATTTATATTACATACAATGAAATTATCCAGGAATTCTATTGTAATAAATGAACTCATCCATAGATCAATGAAAAAAAGAATTCGCTAAAAAAATTTCATTTGCGAAGTAGAATAGAATAATAAGAAAAACATCTAAATTGCTTAATTGTGATGCGCGAAGAAAAAAAGCATTAAATAGAATAATTCCCCTATACTTATTGCTTCCCTCGTATCTATTAATTTCATTCGTTCTTTCATTCACTCTGTGTAAGACTAACAATACATTATGAATAGAGTTCGGGGCTTGAATCGTTTATAGGAAGGAACTTATTATCGCTTGTTTGATAAAAAAATAAGGGGAAAAAGATTAAGGAAACGAAAAGATTGCGAAAATATGGGATGGGAATAATAATAATAACAATGCACTGCATTCATTTGTCTTTCTAAAAAAATGTATCAATCACCAGGCATTCTTTAAGTTTTTTGGAATATTGTTATAATCATTACTGTTATTATTATCGTATTGCATTGGTGATTGTGAATCACCAGCAAATTCATTAACTAATTGTGACAATTTCTCGATATCCTATAGGTAAATATGATGATTGATTTGAAGACCAATATTGTGACATTATTGTCATTAGTAAATATAAAAGGATGGATTGCTGTGCGCTCTTGCTTGATTGAATTAGTCTGACTATAAGATTCCATTTGATGTCTAGAGTCTATATTGGCTTCTGATATTTTAGATCCCCCCCATACATAGCTGGTAACTGTATTGGACCGATTCGACCACCTGAGGAAGATACATTAGGTTTGTGATAAATTGAATTAGGTGCATCCGTTTTTGAAATTGTGGACAGAAAATTTCCCGATTTGAAATGAGAGGAATGGTGTGAAAGATGATGACTAGGAGGCATTGTATGAAAATAACGAGTTGCAAATGTTGATTGACGAAGTATATGTACTGGTTCCTCTTTATTGCTATTATAAAAACAAATGATTAATTATTTTTAAAGTTCTTTTATATAGGAAAGAATATATTTCTAGCAATTACTTATCTTATCTCGTGTGCCAGGATCGTCACGATGACGACATTTACAACGGGCACTATGATTATGAATATGAGTATATAATAATAAGCATCGTAAATATAAATAATAATGTTAGTTAGTTGATACACCTACCGAGTAATACCCAAAATATGGCTAGAGAATGGGAAATGATTGGAGAAATCAAGATAAATTCACGCATACACGCAAATGCCATTGATGTTAGAGCAAAAAATAATAAAGTCCCCAGTAAGAGGTGAAGCACCAATTTCAGCTATGTTATCAATAAACAATTGTCAATATAATTTATATTGAATGCATTTAATAAATATTAACAATGAACCTTTTTTAAGCCATGTTCTAATCGATTAACTTTTAAAGGGGTGGCTCTCCCTGCTTCTTTGGTATCCTTTGTGAAATAGAAAAAATAAATTATAAAAAAAATATATATATAAATAAATGCTTTAAATTTAAGATAAAAAAACTACCTGTATGTGTTTTATCAAGATTGATGTCAATTGCTTTCCAAAATACAATATACCACAAATCAATATCCAACAAAAGAAACTCCAAGATACATAATGGATTACGATAAATATTTTATAAAGAGTTTTATTGTTATGATCAAGAAAGAAGCCACACAGAATAGCAAAAGTGTTTAATGATCCAATGGGACCAAGGAGCACAAAAAATCCGAAAGCGTCGACAATGGCAGGACGAGGCACCCAAACTCCTTTCGACTGTCCATGATTTAATTGTCGATTCATATTATAATGTCGCGGAGTTTCATGTGATTTTGGAATTGAGTAAATTAAGCCAATCAGATAAATGGCCATTCCTGCCAGTGAGAGTGTGAAAGTCACATCATGGAATACTATTATAATATTAATAAAAATTCTTTTGTAGAAACGCTAATTGAATGTAACATTACTCACATTCTTTCAACAAATTATATTGTATATAATCACTTAATAGACAAACGGAGTAAAGTAATCTTCCTGTTTAATCAATAACACCTATTTATAGTTAAAATAATGACAATGAAAAATAGGTAAATCCCAAATCATAATTCACTACTTGCCTGCGACATGAAAAAGATTCATTAATAAAAATCCTTCCAATGGCCTTGGTTTTAAAATTCCCATCTCTTTAAAAGGATCAGGTGATATCAATCGTTGACCTTTTATAGTTTTTCTCCATATTAAGAGTCCAATTAGCAACAAGAAGACAACAAAACAACAGACCACGTTCACGAGGTAAAGATCTCTTAAAAATTGTTGCTGTGTATCACATCCTTTATTATTATAATTACATGTAATTAATTAATCTGTAAAAATCGATGAACGCGCAATATAAAAAATCTCAATGGCACGTAAAATCCGCGTTTTTTAACTTTAAATGAGACTAACCCTCAATTTGTACCCTCCAATCACAATAGCACGTATTTTCGCTTGGGTTACAAATAACTTCGATGGGATAACTTATGTTAGTGATAGAAGGTATGTTTAATGTTAATGCCATTTGTCTTTATTTTGATGGTAATTGTATTTTTAAAACAACTTCGTGATAGCGATAATGAAGATAATAGTCAGTTGAGAAATGAAAGTTAGGTGCAAACTTGAGCGGAAAATTAAATCGTAAAAAGGAGATGAAAATTGTAAAACTCAAATGCACGTAAAGAGGAAAGGGAGCATCCGAGGAAGCAAGGAAAACATATGTATGATAAGGGCGATCAATAAAACGTAATAATGTTTTCGAGTTCGAACTATAAAGTACTCAATTTGCGAAAACATGTTTTTTATAACTAGATTTTTCAATTTTGTTAAACAGCACGTTGTAAAAAATGCTCTCATTATTGGACTCAAAACTGCCAATATGCATAGTGAATAAGTCTCATGCAGGTACCAATTTCCCAATACATGTACATGTACAACGTACTTCTATATAAGTACATATGAAATATCCATTGTTTATCTTTACTATTTTATGAAATATCCATTGTTTATTATTTATTGAATTAATTAAAAATTTTTTCGATTTTAAAACAATCAAACCGTAATAACAGTTATATTAACAAAGTCCTAATTTTCAGTAGAGACAGAATTTTAAGATGTGTTGAACAACTTCTGTTATATGCAGCTTAACCTTAAAAAATTTTCATAATAGTGCTTCAAATTAACCTTAATCATTTGAGTCAATTAAACGTTGCTTGAGCGAGCTCCATAAGAAGCAAAAACTTACGCGGGCGCAGAGTTATAAATTTTCCTGGAGAGAAATGTACCACCACCTTTGCTTGAGCGAGTCTCAAAGTTTATAAAATGCAACCGTTAGAAACCTTTTTTCAAGAAAAGCCCATTCTATATTATTTTTAATAATTTAAGCTCATATAATGTCTTGCCACGCGAACTCCAGCATAAAATCGCTAGAAAAGTGGCTGGAAAAAGATTTAAAAATTATTCGAAAAATAAAAAAACGAACTATTCGAAAAATAAAAAGACGAATTTTTCGAAAAATAAAAAAGAAGAGATATACATGCGGTAGACATATAGCAATCTACATTATATGAAAACAGCTCTGAGACAATTCCTAGCAAAGACGTTTTCAGGGAAATTGGTGATACTTGGGGAATGACGGGTCAAAGTATGTATGAAGCAATAGCACAAGAAGCACAGAAGATTTTGGATTATTCGCTTGGAAATGTTGTTTGCGAGCAAACTTTTGGTCAAGAACATAAACTTAATATGTCTTCCTTTATTACTCTCCCCTCTCAATTTCAGTCTGATGTTTCGGTCTCTTCTGATGACATTCTATTTGAATGTTGTGAATTGTAATGTCAATTTTTACGGATTTTATCCAAAATGTTTGAATAAGTCATGTCAAGTTCATTTAACTAATTAGCGATTAAGATGTTATGATTCAAGATATAAATATAATAAAAAAAAACATATACATTAATATTCCTTCTTTTTCGGCCAATGAAATTTCTATTTTCATTGATAATAATGTCGGTTACATGTATTACACGTACATTATAGTTTGACTCACCACAATACACTACGTACACATCCCTACCATAAATCACCGGAGATCTAGTGTATATGCGTAAATGTATATCGTCTAAAGAAAAATTTTCCAGTCTCTTTTGTTTCTTTTTCGGGTAATAAAACGATTGTTAAATTTATAGTCTTTAGTAGATTTTGCCTATTCAGAACATGCGTTGAATTGAATTAACAAAACAAATACATGTAATCTTGTGGGTACAAGTGGCCTAAAAATATCAACTGTGCTGAAGATTTCTTGCGCAACTTTATATGATACTATGAAGCGCTATAAAAAAAACAGGTTCCCCACATCCTAAAAATGATCAAGTCGGCCCAAAACTATTTCTGCTCATGGAAAACGTCTTTTACAACGTCACTTGGATAAATCACAAGTGAATTGAATCAACATCTTAATATCACTTTTCAAACATCAAAAGTCTCAGTTAAATAAAGAACAACGTATTTCTCGATCAAAACCAAATGCAATTGGAACGAAACCGTATGGTCTGACGAGTCCCGCTTTACATTCTTTAAATCAGATGGACAAGTAAAAGTGTGGCGAAAGCTTATAATAAAGACCGTATTAAGTCTACTGTTAAAATTTAATGGAGATTTGTAATGTTTTGGGACTTTTTAGTTTGTATGGTGTCAGACTGTTAGTAACTTTCTACCCATAGATTTGTGGTATCCAAGCATTGTGTTTCAACAAGATTGGGCACATGTCATACATCTTATACGGATTGGTGGATGGAAACATATAATATCCGTCCACTTTTGGATTCACAGAGCCCAGGTTTAAACCCAATTGAACACTTATGTGACCATTTAGACCGTCAAATAGAAAACGGAAACCTTTACAAAATCAAAACAAGAATTAATCAGGGTTACAGCAAATGCATGTATTAATATAGAAGTTTTACAAATTTAATTTTGAGTTTGCCCAAACGTATTAAATAAAGATTTATTAAGGATAAAGATGGACATATTAAAGACTAGATTTCACTTATTAATAAAATATAGATATCATTATTTGATATTAAGCTTTTTTCATAATTAAAAAAGCATATAAATCAATTTTAAACATTGTTATTTTTATAGATTTTTGGTAATTTATGGTAGGGATGTGTATGTTATATTTATTACATCTACCGTATATTAAGAAATTATAAAAAACTTTTATTTTATCTTGGAATAAATTTTCTTGAACTGTTAAAAATAATCATTACATCTTTAGACATTTGCACGCGATCAAATTTACAATATTTATCATTATTTTTGCTAATGCATTTCTGCAGAACAGATGACTTGCAAAAACCTAGTCATTCTTCATTAAAAATCACGTGCAGAGTACTTTTTTTCATCGGCTAACCACATGTACATTTATAGCGGTAGATCATATGATACCGTTGTCGCTATATGCACTGTAATGTGAACGTGTACAAAGACTTCAAATTTAGAATTTTATATACATGTAAATGGGTTGTACACTGCTTTTAGCGAAGTGTATAATAAACTTCGCTACGTACACAGAAAACTATTTTATAGCGTTTCATGAAATTGGGCGCTCTTACAGTTCACCTGTTTTAGAAAATTATCACTCTTCGCTCAACCTGATCCTTTGTTTAAAAAGCGGGTTTTTACCGTTTAGCGGTAGCTTTTGATGTTTAACAGCAGCGTACTCAACTCCGTTATACATGTATTTATTTATCTGTAACATCTTTTCGGAGAAATCATACATATAAGCTAGTTTTCCACTCAGTCAGTACCTTTGTCAATCTTATTTAGTCTGTCTAAGAGACGGTTTTTCTTAACAAAAAACAATTCATGATGCCAAAAATCTTTCTTATCATTAAAAATAATTTTATATTTCTAAGTCTTACATACTCATCTAATTGCAACCATGAATTTTTCTTAGATCCTTCTGCTGACGAATACAGAAATAAATTTTTAAAAAATTTAAACACAAAAATTCCTAATAGATTTTTATTATTTAGGACTCTATTGTCAGTTCACTTGACAAAAAATTTAAATTGTACAGAGCTATCATGCCCTTTGTCTGTCTCTTCTTTTAAAGCTGACCAGCTTTTTATATCACATTTAAGTTCACGTTATTATGAATGTTATAGAAATGAACTCTCTAATTTTTTTAAAAAACTATATGATGAACTAAAAAATGAAAAAACTAATTTGTGGGTTTAACTTGTCTTTTTAAAAAAAAATGCAATTATTGTTAACTTATTAATTAAAATTTATTGATTTGTGTAAAATAAAGAAAATTAAAGCTCACGCAGCACCGGAACTATGATGCTCCTATTCTACAACACCATTATTATCATCCGTATGATGCATACGTTAAACAAGATTCTTCTGATTTAGAATCAGTTCAATTATCTTTATTCAATGCATCCGAATCGATCTCAGTTTCTCCATATGCTCCATTTCTAGCAGGAACATATATCGCAACACTCCGGGAAAATGCAAAATCTTTAGCGTTGAATACTTCAGTTGGATTTAGTTCATCATTCACGCCGGAAACGTCTTTTAGATCCGTATATTCTACGAAGCCAAACCCATTTCATGTTATAGGATCTGATCAGCCATCAATAATAACTTCGGGCCAGTGCATGGATTCTAGTTCTTCAAAAATAGAAAATTTTCAAAATTCAACATTAGATTGTAACATAGACTCAGAATTTTTTAGATCTCCAAATTAGTTCAATTTTGGATGTCATCGAAAATCTAAAACGTGTTTATTAATTGCAATTATTATTAACATGTTGACAAATTTATTAGTACATTAGTTGCACATTTATCTATTTCAATAGCAGACTTATTCTTCATCATCACAATTATTACTTTCATATTCTTTAAAATTATAATATGTTTCCTGAATATAATTTGCTATATATATGTACTATATGCTGTATATTATGTCAAGTTAAAATATATATTTTTTTATTCTTATTAATAAAATGTATTTATATTTCTATAATATTATCAGCTTGTTTAAGTAATTATTATTAAATTTTTATAAAGATTAAAGTGCTAAGTTAAATTTAATTCTTTACTTTATATTTTTTATTAATAATATTTTTTAATCAAAACAGATAGAAGCTGATTCTTATAAATATATTTTATAAATTTCAATTTTCTTATTTATATAGCAATCTTTGAAAATATAAATCTATTCAGCAGATTTCTGTTTATTATTCTTGAAATTACAAATTGAATAACAATATTCTTATTTATTAACTTCTTATTTTTCTAGTTTAAAATAATATAATCAGATCTCTCTATAATTACATCTTTATAATTATATTTTTCTATATTACTCTTTTTCAGTTATTAATTAATATACAATTAAAAATCTTTCTATAGTTAGATTCAATTTGCTTTTTTAAATATGATAAATATAGAGATTTAATTATAATTAGAAATATTAATACTATAATCTGATTTCAAGTTAATAACTTTATAATCAAGATTGGCTCCTGGTCTAGTCCAAACCTGTTTGTTCAATATCTATATAATTAAATTACTAATAAATTTTTGTTCATCCAAAATTATCCAAGAGTCAATTCTATTTATAATAAAAATTAAATTGAATTATGAGTTTCAATTATTAATTTAAAACTGAATATATATATTAATTTAATCATATACAGTGGCAATCAAAAATAATGCAACGCTTAAATTTTTTACTAATTATAATTAGTAAAATACGTATTTTTCCTTACATATAAAAGTTTTTAATTTTACTAACAAATATTTTTTATTTTTAGCTCAAAAAATAACTAAAGTTCTCTAGT